GCATGGCTTAAGATGTAGGGTTGGGGAAACCATCCCTTATACCGTGGTGCGACTTTTTGCAGGTCTTAGAAGGTGACACGGTTCATTTTCCAGCCCCGAAAAATCAGATGAGCAAATATATTGTTCTCGAGCGAGATACGCCATTCCTTGCAACGTGTGACGCCCCAGTTGATTTAATTAACAATGGATCTATTGCTCACGTGAACACAGAAATGATGAATGTAATATGGCGACTGTTTCCGCTCCATAGACATATTCTGCGTGATGAACAAAGAAACATTGCGGCTTGCGCTCGGGGTTTGCTCAGTTAATATTATACGTTGAACAGTGATCTATAATGATGTGTTTTAATTTAACGTATATTAAGGTGTTAACAAATATGTATTCTGGTCAACACTAACAAATTAGCTTATGACACGTCAACGAATCCCACACGAATCTCAGTCACATTTCATGTAGAAAAGGCGATTAAGTCCAACAATTCTTGCTTTTTTTCTCTCTTAGCTTATTGTACTTATGGCAAAGGAATTGATTATGTGGATAACTTCGAGCGAAATCAATTTGATTCAATAAAATTCCGATTTTCGGCGACGATTCCCACTATTTATAGTATATTGAAATATGACATCATAATTAGTAAATGGAAAAGTGGGAATCGTCGACTTTTTACCCATTTTCTCTGCCTTTTATAACGAAACTTGTGCATATTTGAAGCCAAAGTATCAATTTATGCCTTACGCACGCAACTGTGCATTTAAATTCCCAACAACGATCATATGCATGTGAGAAAATATGGAAATTATTACGCGAACAAGTGTGGGATTCGTTGATACGGAAATACGATATACAATCCGTTGTCATCGTAGCTTTCTCAGTATTTTATTCTAAAGCCGTGAGCCTGCAATACAGCGTGCATTCGCGTAGACAAGCTTGTGATAATATTATTTATATAATCTACATAAATATTATATAAAGTTTTTATAACTGTAGTCTTAAATTGTCTCCATATACACGCCCTATAGGGGCTAAAGCGTCACTAAGAGGCTGTGTCTTATAAACAGAAGAAACCCGTCTGAATAGAAGGCAATATTTCGCCAGACGAATTCGGGCTTTGGGGAAAGAATCTTCTTGCATTGTTGCGCAAACGCCTTTCTTTTTGTGCGATCACGGCTTGTTAAAAACCCCTTTATACGCGCAGGTAAATAATCAAATCCAGCTGCTTTCGCCTCACGATAAAATGTCCTATAGGAAATATGACGTGACAGCAGCCTGCTGTGCGCAACCAAGCGCTTAACAGTAAAATTTGGGACTTTATCACGAAAAGTTTTTATTATTCTTATTAATTTTCTCCGATCTCTATCTGACAGCGTCTTTGGTCTACCAATTTTCTTGCATGTTTTCAAATCTTGCTTGCGCTGAACTTTTCCTCTCAGATAAGAGAGACTGACGATTTAGATCTTTTTGCTTTTTTAGCAATCGCTCAGCAGGAATATCGTTCCTCTTTGTCTAGAAATAGCACATATGCTCGCGTTGTATCTGAAATAGTTGTTTTATAAGCCATTATTACTTGCTTTCTATATAACTACCTCTTATTTATAGCATGCATACTGTGCGCTTTATAATACTACAGCTTTGAGATTAATCCGGATGTTGATGATGACGTTATATTCTCCACAACAGTTACGTAATAACACTTAAAGATAATTGCATTGGCTTCCGAACGTGTTTACTAGCCCTAGATTCCAGATTGCTCTACTAGTTTCGCTTGCAGTTCCAAACTACGAAGTTCCCAAAGTTTGAGTAGTTCTGGAAACGTGCATAAACGCATTATGATTAAACTAGAATGACATACAATGTATGCGTAAATTAACCATGTATACGCTCATCAAAACACGGCATCTATAATATTTGTAAACACCATTGGTAATACTATAAAATACAAGTAATTCTAGCTTCAATAACTGAAATTTTAATTTGGCTTAGAATAACGTTTCTGACAACCAGTGACAAAACACTTTGGACAAAATAGCAAAAGAGCGTACATTTACAACATAATCGATCGCCCGCACCCCCCGTTCAATGTTGTGTGTGGAAATACCTGCGCAAAATGTTCCTTGCCAGCCACCCAACATTGTTTAGGGTGGGGGAGGGAGGGATAGTGGTTTTATGCTGAACAGTATTTGGAAATGCGGAGATATGTATATATTATATCACTGTCCAAAAACCTTTTGTCACTGATTGTAGGATTAAAATCTTACATTTAAGTAACTGTTATTTTATTATGTTCTAAATACATTTCCTGCAGTAATTAAGAGGGGGGAAACAGACATACTAGGTAGAAGCAAATGCAACACAAGTGCAAAGGACAGCAACATGATTCAAAATGTGATGGAACAAATGAAAGGGTATGCATTTTATGGATCAAAATATATTACACTCACCTTTACATGATGTACCATTTCCTCTGTATCCATTCTTGCAAGAACAGTTAAAATATCCTTCCGTATTGGTGCATATGGCATTTATATCACAATCGTGAGAATTTTCTAAGCATTCATTTTTGTCTGTCGAAATTGAGAGTATATAAGGTTCTAAAAGTTGATCGTTTACTTGTGCAGAACACTCATGCTTGCAATCGAAGTGTAAAGTGGGTAAGTGGGAGCATGTAATATGATGCGTCACCCCCTTAGGCAATTTTTTTATGGGACATGTGACCACCCCTCTGGCAGCGTTTCTCGTCCACAAGAGGAAAAAGTCTGGGAAAAATAAAATTAGACACTCACCTTTACATAATGTACCATTTCCTCTGTATCCATTTTTGCAAGAACAGTTAAAGGATCCTTCCGTATTGGTACAAGTGGTATTCTTATCACAATCGTGTGTATTTTCCAAACATTCATTTATATCTGTCGAAATAGAAAAGAATAAATATGAGGTATTTAGGACAGGATTTAATATTAATTAGTTAAATACGAATTTTGAACTCATACACTAATATAATACAATTTAGAAAAGATTCCTACACCATCGACGTTGACGAGGACGATAACGTTAACGACCATAAACCACAAACATAGCAACAACAACTGCGTCAACAACGATAACAATACGACAAGAGTGAAAATTGAAAATTACTAAAACTATAGGTAAAAATTACACTTATGCCATACCTTTACAGTAATTAGTAGGCAAAAAAGGCAGAAAAAATTGAAAAAATACAGGGTCAAAAGCAGGGAACTGCGAAATGGATCAAAATATGTTGAAACAAATGAAAAAGCAAGAAACGAAGGACAACAATATACAGTAGATCACTCACCTTTACATGATGTACCATTTCCTCTATATCCATTCTTGCAAGAACAGTTAAAGGATCCTTCCGTATTGGTGCATATGGCATTTATATCACAATCGTGAGAATTTTCTAAGCATTCATTTTTGTCTGTCGAAATGGAAATTATATAAGGTTCTAAAAGTAGATGGTTTACTTGTGTCATAGTTAATAGAGGAGAGGGTTTGAAAGGCAAACTTCAAAACTTTGCTTGCTAATTGATTCAAGATGTTGGAAAGATACGTCAGGTGACAATCTGGGTGCATCGAATTCAGAAATTACTAGAGCGTAGTATTACAGAAATACGATATTTTGACTAAAACAAACCAAACAACGCATCGTTGTTCTGCTCATGGCTTCGACAAGTCCGACATACGATTCAGGAAGCAAAATGCTTCCAATTCTGGGCCCTGGAGACGCAGTTTTCATCAAACTATTCAGCTGCCAACCTCGTTCCCAGGGTCTTTAGGAAAGACCCTGGTATCGGCTGGTCACGTGCCTCGTCCCAAATTTAGTGCCCGAGGCCGAGGGGTGTGGAGAAAGTATCAAATTACATGCTTCCAGTGGGATATTCAGTGTGTAATGTCCTCTATTAACTATGATATGATAGAGGCGATACAAGCTGTGCATTAAAAAATAACGGCATTCTATTCCACAAAGCAAAACATTTAAATCTCACTTGTATTATTAAGAATATATTAATGCAAAAAATTAAAGCTTGTGTCAAAACGAAAGCTGTTTACAAAATTTATAAATGTGGTAAACACAGTGAACTGTAAATAGTGCTCATATTTGATAAGACATATAATGTATTTTCGTTTGTCTTATCTTTGATGTATGATTTTAATACCGTAGATTTTCAACAGACAGCTAGACCGTGACATATATCATGATTGTCGAGTTTCAACAATGCCAAGGGCCAATGCAAGAAATTTCATAGTCTTTTGATGGGCTTTAAGTTTTTTAATAAGGTTTTTATAATCAACTATCTGGATACAGTTCGCGTTTTAGCGATATTTCGCAAATCAAAAAATGTTAAAAATCTCGTTATTTCGTTAGTGCAACTCCACATCTCATCAATAAATAATTCTTTTGGTCCGAGTATCAGGATATACTTTAATACTAACAGTTAAATAAATAACAACCACATTTGTCGGTCTAGAGATATATATTTTCTTGTAGGCTTATTGCCACGCCGCCCAGGCGTGCTTTCTTTGGCAAGTCTACAAGTTTAAATCTGATCCAACTTGCTTGAATTATAATTATAACTCCTCGACACTAGTAGAAAGTCACATATCACGATAAATATTAATTTTTAGTTGCAGTTCTCTTCACGATTTCTTGTTGCAAATTTAAATTTCATCATGGAGTCAGTGCTGTGTCATTATTAAGTTGAATTGAGAGCGATGAAGAAGCGAAGGCATTGGAAGAAGGGACCGGAAATATTCTGTATTAAATATAGCACACCAGGAAGAGTCATTGTTGAAGACAAAGTGTATAGCAGAATCGTTTGTGCTTTGGCTATTGATGCATGAAGCTCATGTCAGTATATATTATAATAAATCCTAAACGTATATGTGTTCGCATTTGTAATTCTCAAAGCCACAGGAATCGATCGGCTTTGGTCATTTTGATAGTCGTTATTTTATATTGTCTTGAATTTTTCTTTTTATATGTTGCCTCGTATTATGACTATTAATATCTATTTCATGTAGTCCCTCTGATGTAAACCCTTCATAATTGAAAGTCTCATATGAACTTGGCAATGCATGCTAGTACTATAATACATGCAATAGCCAATAGATAATACGAGGCAATGTATAAAAAGACAAATTCAATTTAATAAACACAATAAACTATTAACGACTATTAAAATGCCCGATCGATTCCTGTGGCTTTGAGAATTACAAAAGCGAACACATTTTTAGAATTTATTATAATACATACCATTCTTTAATCATATCAGCTTCATGCATCAATAGCCAAAGCACAAACCATTTTGTTATACACTTTGTTGTTAATTAAGCATTCGTCTCCATCGTTCGGTGTTCAACAATGACCCTACCTGTGCCATATAATACAGAATATTTCCCTTCTTCCATTCCAATACCTAATTCGCTTCTTCATCGCTCTCGATTCCACTTAATAATGACACAGCACTGACTCCTAGATTGTGTAGTTTTTGGCGTCTACTGAAACAGTAGTCGCCATATGCTGTCGACAA